GACGAGTGGCACCAGTACCGATGTACCACTCCCTTGGGTTATCCACCAAATTGGCTTCAAACACCACAGCCAACATATCAAAGTCGGTAAGTTCACCCGGCACAGGGCCGTGTTCAACAACAAGGGCACTCGGTTGTGCCTTCTTTGGCCCAGCCTTCTTAGGACTCCTGCAGTCCTTAGCCACAGCGGGGTTGATCGGATGTTGAGTTCGTGATCCTTCTTCGGTGGATGCCATCAGTTCAATAGGTTGACTATATTTGTCTTGCGATTGTTACACAATTTGTGTTTTGATTACAACGGAAACCTATTAATTGACTGAAGAGTTCAGTACAATATGAACTAAACAAGAAATGTAAAATACAACTCGAATGCGGACAGATTAAAGCTAAGGCAATTGAAATCTTTTCGCAAGACAAATACGTCCCGTATAGTGGTGACGGGTCTGTGCGTAATGTCCCCAAAGATACAAAGGCTATACACTCAGAAGCTGTAGCACACCAGTCTTCAGAGTTCCAACGAACAGGAATAAAGACGAGAACTGAGCACAATGTATGCGTGAGGCTATGAGATATGAGAGAGTTGAGAATGCATATGAGATTTTCGTGTCATCTCCTTATCTCTACAATGTCCTATTTATAGGACTTCCACCTAGGTGGGGGATGACTCTTCATTTTGTAACCACTCATGGCTGGTTTTGATGACTATTAAAAACTTGTAACCACCAAGCCATTAACAACCATTCATGGCTTGTAACCACCAAGCCATTAACATCCATTCATGGCTTGGTTTTAATTGCAAAATGTTTCAGGTTTAACTCACCATTAGTTCACCTCATAACTCTTGAAACTGTTATGTGGTTAAAAGGTCACACGTCCAGGTTTAATGTACCTAGAACGATGTCACACGGGTTGTGTCGAAACCCGAGTCCAAAATCAACTCAGTTTATATACCAACATTTGGTACATAACTTTGTTATTGTTGTGACTTCTCCAACTCTCTTTATCATAATATAGAGAGTTACTCTCATTTAAGAGTTCTATGTGAGATAAGACATTTGACCATTCGAATCCCACAACCAACGTCCTGCGTGCCCATTTATTGCTAACATTTATTTCTCACTCACCGAAAATCAGTATTGAGAAATTAAATATACCACGAGTTTCTACTCAGAACGTAGAATTTATTCTACATAGTTTAATTCAATCTGAATTAAATATTTAGCCATCAACAAATCAGTCAAAATCGGGTCATACCCAATTTTATATTATTGATTTTCCAACAACAAGTATAACTGAAGAGCAAAGGTGGTGAAATCTTGAATCACTACTCATAAAGGAAAATATGGAAAATAAAATCATATGCAAGCAATTTATTGGGTTCTTCATTTTTATTTGAGAGTTCGGGTGCATTTTATCACCAATAACCTGCTTTTAAGCAGCAGCGTAGCCAGAAATATTTTTCAACCGGGACTACAAAATATGAAGTTTTATTCAAACCGAGTTGTTCTCTAACATAGTTCGATTCGACTTGCAAAAGTTCGAGCTTGACGAGCTTGTATATTTAAACGAGGAAAACTCGAAAACTAATCGAATTTGTCTATCAAACAAATCGAGTCGAGCATGTCAGCGAATAACTTGGTTTGAGTTTTTAGT